AAGAAATCTTAAATTTTTGTTCTTCACTCATTTTCTTTTATTACTTTTTTAAAGGAAATAGTTTAAAGAGAGTATAGTCATAATTGATATGACATTAGAAACATTACACATTTGATTACAGGTATTTCAAGCATGGTTTTAGTATTATACATTCAACTAAAAAAGAGAGCTACAGGCCAATCTCCCTCATGAACATAGATGTAAAAACCCTCAATAAAATCCTAGCCAATAGAATACAGCAAATCATCAAGAAGATTATACACCATGACCAGGTAGGATTCATCCCAGGTATGCAAGGATGGTTCAATATATGTAAATCTATAAATGTAATGCACTATATCAATAGAGCCAAATCTACAAACAACATGATCTTCTCAGTTGATGCCCAAAAGGCTTTTGACAAAGTCCAACACTCATTCATGTTCAAAGTCCTAGAAAATTGGAATAGATGGGCTCTACTTCAATCTGGTAAAAGCCATTTATGAAAACCCAACAGCTAGCATAATCCTAAATGGGGAAAACCTGAAATCTTTAACTCTTAGATCTGGGGTACAAGACAAGGATGTCCTGTATCACCACTCCTACTCAATATAGTTCTGGAATCATTAGCTACAGCCATTAGACAAGAGAAAGAAATAAAAGGAATAAGAATAGGTAAAAAAGAAGTTAAACTTGATGGCATGATACTCTTAGTTTTTTGAAAAGAATGCTTTGTGCTACTGTTGTGTAGGCCAGATATTGTTTCTATGCCTTGTACTCTAATTAGGTACAAGGAAGACAATATATAATGTATCAATTATTGTGACTGTCCTACTAACTTGTTTGGGAATTTGGTTTCATTGTTTACCTTTTTTCTCTTTAGAATAAAAAAGAATAAGATAAAAGAAATATTAAACAGAATTGCTAATTTGCTATTCTGGTTTTGAAAATCTGTAACATATGTAATGTTGTATGCTACCCTATTTCTGCTATTTGTTTTTGCTTTTGTTTTTACTCTTTGAAATAAAGTAAAATAAAATAAAATTTTGGAAAATACTAAGCAGAACTTTTGAAGACATAGGTGTAGACAAAGGTTTTGTGAATAAAACTCAATTGTATGGAAAATACAAAATAGAATCAAGAACTGGGATATTATTTTATTATTTTGCACATCAAAAGAAATTACCAAGAGAGTGGAAGCACAACCCAGAGTGGGAAAATATTTTAGATATTTGTGCCTGAGACAAAGGACTTATATCTAAAATATATAATGAACTGAAAATCCTAACCCCCAAATTTGAAAGATCCAATCCAAAGATTGGTATCTTACATGAATAGGCAATTTTCAAAAGAAGTAAAAATGTCAAATAAATATACAAAAAATTCAATATCACTGGCCTTTTGAGAGATGGAAATTAAGATGTCACTGAGATTCCGACTCACCCTAGAGAAAGAATGATTACGGTGAAGAAATGAAGCAGTAACAAATGCTGGTAGTGCTGTGGGGAAAAGGAGCCCTTCTCCACTGCTGGTGGGAGTGTAGCCTCGCACAGTTGCTGTGAAGCCAGTGTTGAGATTCCTCAGAAAACTGGGACTAGAGGTGCCATTTGATGCAGTTGCTCCTCTGGAGGGTAGTAGCATCTTACAACCATGATATATACTCACCTATATTGTTAGCCCAAGTTTTCAGCCACAAAGTCTGTAATAGATAAATCTTGGGAATGATTTTGTTTTTTGACTGGCTTAGGCTGCCTTAAGGGCGGGTCTAGTAAGGGAGGTAGAGCTGGGGGTCAAGCCACGGCATCCTGTGCCTGACTGCTTTTGCATGAGCACATGCTTAAACAACTGAGCTAACCGGCAGGCCCCCAAATCTTGGAAATAGCCAAAACCACCTATCAATTTATGAATGGATAATTTTTTAAAATACAGTGGAGTACTATTCAGCCATAATGAAGGATAAACTTGAAATATTTTTTGTTAAGTGGATGTACCCTTTGCTTTTGCAATCAGATTTTATTGGCACTTTTTAGATGTGACATTTACATTCATCATAGAGAATTTATTCCTGTATATAATATTTGTTTCTTTTTCCCCCTATTTCCTTATGCTCTCTTCAACTCCTTTCCTTCTCTATTTAAATAAAATCTTTGTTTCTATTTTGCACTTTTCTCTTTCCTTTTCCCTCCCTCTTTTTTGTTCCCTTCCCCATTTGAATGTTTTCTTCCTATTTACACTTTGGCTTCTCACACCAGAGAAACAACACAGTATTTACACGTGTACCTGATTTATTTCACCTGCGCTAGGGAGAAAAGGGATTAAAGGGAGGCGAGGGGATGGGAAGAACAGGGGAGGCAAGGGATAGCATGTACAGGTGCAAATTCCTTTTTTTTTTTTTTTTTAATTTTAGGGAAGGGCCCACAGGGTGTTCAGGGTCTCACTACTAGATCGGACTCATAGTGGTTTTCCTGTTTACAGCCTCCCGAGAGCTGGGATTATGGGCGCGCGGCACCACGCCCCGTCTCAGTTGCCCTCTCTGCGTGCCCTGGGGGGAGGGGTGGGGCCAACACGGCAGGCCTGGGGATCGAACCACGGCCCCTACGCCTGCTTGCAGGCGCTTTAATCCACTGAACTATCTGGCTGCCCACAGGTACAAATCCCTTGTGGCGAATGTGATCACTGTTATATCAAAATTGTACCAATAAACTTAACACTAACAAATTATATAATATACTACAGGTAAGACCAAGATTCTCTTTTTCATCTATCGTTTTAGCATTTATCTATCTATTCTCAATCTACTCCTACCTTCGTACACGTAATGCTAGATACAATTTTAGTCACATGCAGCAAAATTTAATAATATCTGGTTTGGGTTGTCTCCAGGCCTTATGTCTTAATATTCAAGCGTGCAGAGATTTGCAGTGGAGGGAGCTGTGCTTTTTACTTGTGGACTCCCCGCTGTGCTTGCTTTGACCTTTTCTCTAACTTTGGGTGGGAGGTAGAGGCAGCCAACAGCCACCACGGGAGGGGCAGGCAGGGCTGGCGCCGCGGCCACGGCACGTGAAGTCAGACCCTCACCAGGAGCGCACAAAGGAAGCTTGCCTACCCCAGTGTGCGTGGCTGGAGACTTAACTGAAGCCAATCGTAGGTTGGACTAGATTCTCAGACTCAGAATCCAAATAAATTATAATTCAAATAAATTATAATTATACTTAAAATGTTACAAAATTAAGCAGCATTTCTATTATAAGAGAAAATGAGAAAATCTCGTTGTACATGCAATTTCAATAAGCCACAATTAAGCAAAAATAATTTTTTAAAATATATTGCATATTGTTATCTTTATTTATTTATTTTTTCCCCCATAATTTTATTGACAAACAAATAGCAATGAGACAGTTTCAAATCAAATTGTTAGGACAGTTTCAACAATCAAAACACTGCATACACTCCTCCCAGTGGTCAATTGCTGTACAAGATGCGGACATGACATCTTATTTATTTATTTATTTATTTTTATTTATTTTTCCCCATAATTTCACTGTTAAACAAACAGCAATGAGACAGCCTCAAATCAAATTGGTAGGACAGTTTCAACAATCAACACATTGCATACATTCCTCCCAGTGGCCAACTGCTGCACAAGATGCGGACATGACACCCCAACACCACTAGAACAAATCACTCCACCCACCAAGAGAATGCAACCATACATCCATCCCAAACACCCTGAACACACAGACACAAAATGGACACTCATCTGCATCCCCCTCTCTGGACAAACTCCACCATCTGAACACCATAGGTGTGTAAACTCAGCAAAATACTCCAATAGAGTCCAGTAGTCCACAATAGCATTGGGTCCTCCGCTTGACTGGCAATGTCAGAAATTGTCGACCTGAGTCCCCTACAGCTCAATACAACAGCATGGCTTCACTTCCTATAAGCAAAAATAATTTGAGTAATTCTAAGATGATAACCGCTGGCTCAAAATGATCAGCAAAGATTTTCTGTTTCTTCTGCACATTTTATCTTCACACTCCTAGCAATATTCCTTATTGTGGAATAATACTGAAACTTGTTTTTAAAGATTTGTTGTATGTTTTATGAAATATTAACTTCTTATACTTATCCATTTCTAATAGATCCACTAAGGATTTTTCCAACCTTAACGCATCTGACAGCCTAATGATAACGCTTTCCAGAAGCCATGTCACTGTCCCCAAAATGTAGATATAATTGCTTATATCGTCTTATACAATTCCATACAAGGGCCAGCCAAATAGCTCAGTGGATTAAAGCGCCTGCTTATGCAGGTGCAGTGACCAGGGTTTGATCCCCTGGATGCCATGCTGGCCCCACCCCCAGGATGGGCTGAGACAGCGACTGAGACTGGGGTTGGTGGTGCGCACTGCAATCCCAGAGCTTGGGAGGCTGAAAACAGGAGGATCACTACAAGTCTGATCTGTGTAGTGAGACCCTGTAGGCCCTGTACTAAAATACAAAAAAAAAAAGTATTCTGTACATTAATTGAAGCCTACAGCACTACCTTAAATTCACATGTCTGTATGCTTTCTCCCTTAATCCCCTATGAGGTAGAGGAAAGCAGAAAATTTGAGGGTATGCTCTACTGTAGCATATTATATGCTGCGGAAGTTTGTATTTCTTAAACCAAGTACGGCCTTTATGAGCTTCTGTCTGTGTCAGAAAAGTGATACTCATTGGAAAGAAAATAAGCATATATGGTAGCATGTGTTAAATTCACACAGGTTACTGCTGTGTGGGCAGAAGGGGTTGGCTGGAGAAGCGACCACCTGCATTGGGTCTGGAATGGTAACTCAGTGGAAATAGTTCAAGGCATAGGGAGTGTCTTAAAAGAAAATATTGGTTATAACAACTAAGTGGTTAACATAACAAAAGATGAATATTTCCACTAGTCTGCTTACAGATTCTTGCCCTTTTGGTGCTTGAATAAAGACTACAAGCCATCTGGGAAAATTCATCCTAAAGGAATATGCTACCTGTCTCACTGGAGATCTCATCCTCTGGGCAAGGGGTGCAGGCATAGCAGCAGACAGCCTTCCCCTTCTGGGGACCACAGTCTGTGTTGCATGCAGAGTGGGGAGTCTGAGGAAAACCAGGGATGTGTTGGGAGCACGTTGGACACGTACCTAATCAGGTGTTGTGTACGCTTCGGCATTCTGGATAATAAACTCGCCATGCATGTACTTAAATCCAATTACCTGATCAAAGGCCAACCAAACTGACTTACTTACATGATAGGTATGAACATATAGAAACTCATGGTTGAATAAATTCGATCCTTTCATATGAATCGAAATGCTAGTAGGAAATCTTGAAAGCTGTCACGTGTTATTTAGTATTGCCTTTACTAAATGATAATGAAGCATGACATCGATCATAAGACTTTGATTATTTCTGATAGTATAAAGCATTATGATGCAGTCTGCCTTACCCATGATGTTCCTGCAGCCCACTCTATCATCTCTTCAGATAAAGACAAGTGCTGATGATTAGAAAAATGCTTAGAAAGCTGTCCAACTTTCACTTTAAGGCCAAGTCCTTCTGGGAAGTTCCGGAAGTTGAAAATATCATACTCTGCATCTGATTTTCCTTTCTGAGTCACATTCCCTGGTCTACTGGCAGGATTGTTAAGTTGTATGTTCTTTAGGAAAGGGTGCAGCTAAAAGGCAAAAGTGTTAGAACAGAAAACAAATTAGAGAGTGAACCTTATCTTCTTTAATTTCTTTAACAAATGAAAGAGCATTATAAACAAGCTACGGAGTAAAAAAATGAAAATATACAGAGAACTAAAATAACACAATCCTAAAATATCAGTCAATCTGAGGAGAAAATCCCCAGATATGCAAATCTAAGTAACATTGGTATGTAGTTAAAGTTCAATACCAATTTTTTCTCTTTGGTCATTTTCAAAGTAGCAATAAGCAAATTGAGGTCATCAATAGTTAATGTGAGGGGCCGGGGAGATGGCTCAGTGGAATAAGTGCTTCCCTGGCAAGTGCAAGGGCCTCAGTTCAATCCCTGGTTATGCAAAAAAAAAAAAAAAAAAAAAAAAGAAAAAAAAGAAAAAGGAAAATAGTTAATGTGGTTGCATATACACCCACGAGATCACTTATGTAATGTACCCACTATAATGCTCCACACCACTTAGATATTTACAGAACTAGTTAAATTTGGTTGTTTGTCATTTAAGAACTTCATGGAGCGCTCTGATTTTTTTGCTATTGAAGTCATTATGTTGTAGAGTGGTGAGATCCATTGTAACACAAATATTAATCTTGACTTTATTACAATGAGAGAAAAACAATAAAGGTAATTATACAGAATTTCAAAATAAGATAGAAAATTCACAATGGTTAATAGACTGCATATTGTTATCTTTAAAGTAGTTGCTCAGATTATAAGGTGTATGTATGCGAAATTGTTCACACAATATGAACACAACTTAACAGGTTCCTCTCATCCCACCAGCAACTTGTGCTTAGGTTTAAACCAGGCCTAGATTTAACTACTTGGTCATGAATAAACTACATAAATAGCTGTTTTATATGAAAGGATCTAAATTGTTTGGTATGGGCATATGTAGGACCCACTTGAAAGGTCCTTTTGATTCCAGTATGTACCATCTAGCAGAAGTGACATTACCTGCCATGGGGCAAACATCAGTCCTTTCCTAGTTGTCACTGGTTCTGTACCTACTTGTTGAAGAAGCATCTCACGGAGGGCATGTGCCACAGTGTACACAGTGTCATATATATATTGTAACTTCCATTACTCATAGCTGTGTCAAATTGGTGCGGAGGTAACCATCCCAAGGAGCCCTGGGATGAACAGTTCTTCAATGTTTTACAGTTAGAATTTGTAACTGAACAATTACAATATATCCCCCACATCCTGGCAAGGTAGGTATCGTCTGTATATTTGTTTTTTCTTTTTAGCATTTTTAATTAAAAGTTACACAGAGGAGGACTTTATTCCTGCATCTTCTCAATCGTTTCTTCCTTGTATTTGCCCTTTTCTTTTCCTACTTGGTGAGACTTGGCTTTCTGTTCCAGGATCATTTTGCGGTCTTTGTCCAGTTTTAGCCTGGTGATGACCACCTTATTGGGGTGAATGCCCACATGGACAGTTGTGCCATTTGACTTTTCCCGCTGCACCTGTTCAATGTTCTTCCTGTAAACCCGGACTACTTTGCCAATCTGTTGACCTTTATAGTGTCCTTGCACAACCTGAACTTCATCATCCGTTCAGATGGGCAGAGAGCGAACATTATATTTTTGTCTCAGCTCTTTGGAAAGAGGAGAAGACATAATTTTCCTGCGAATGTGGGAAGGTATGTTGAAATGCTTTTTATGGGTTTTGCTTCGGTCTGAAGTCACAAAAGGATTAAACTTCATTTTGGCCACTGCAACTCCAGTGATGGCCTCAAAAGGGAAGAGCCCGTCTGCATATTTGGAAGGGTTTGTTGTCTGGATGAAATCTCTGAAGCCCAAAATCTCATCATGGTGGTGTGAAAAAATAGAGCCCCATGGGCTGAATCAAAGACAAAATATTTCTTACTGGTGGTAATGTCCCACTGTGAGGTGGTGACCCAGACCTTGTGTGTAGCAAAATATTCCCATCTTTTAAAGCTCATGCCTAGAACAGAGTCCGGGTTCCCTCAAATTACAATAACATTTGCGGTTGATCCCCTGATGGTGTTATAATAGAAGAAATCTCTTATCAAATATTTTGAAACAGAGACTGGGATCTTATTCACAAAGGTGACGCAGATTCTGCTTCTTTCCATCTCCCCTCTCAGATCTGAGAGAAATTGGATCCCTTTGTCATCTTCAGAAATGATTAGCCCCATCCAGGCCCAGCTGAAATGAAGCACCAAAGTGACAATGGCAAGGGCCAGATATGTGCCCTTGGGGGCCACATGATAGAGAGAAGGAAGCTGGACATTGGTGCTCAGAGTAGGATAAAAGGGCCCAAAGGTAAGCTGTGTGGGAGAGAAAATTGGAAACACTATAAGGAGAAGTCATGTTGCACACAGTACCAGTCCCGTGGTGTAGTAAGCAACATCTTGAAAGAGGAGATTTACTCATCCTGTTTTTATAACCATCTCTCTCTTCTTCAAAATATCCTACTATACATCTGCTTAGAATTCAAGTTCAAGGAAAGTCCTTAACTCTTTCATCCATGTCCTCTACCCCACAAGAAGACAGAAAATTTGGATAATCCACCGGCCTTTGAATTCTTACCCATTGGAACAATATACTTCAATACATTCCTACACACAATCTTCTCTCCACACTCTCCAGGCACCTGAGCATAGCACCAAAATAGAAACCTGTATTTTGCTGTCTCTCCCACCTTCACCTGTGGAAATTTGTAGAGCTCCAGTAGTGTCCCAAGTTGAGTAGATGTTTCCTACTTTAGGCCTGTGAGCACAGCTACAGACTTGCTTTGTCTCCTGTAGGTGTAATTAGGGATTGTCTTGTCCAGTAATGTGAGCCAAGTGAGTGAATTCTCCAATGTTTTCCGGTGATCACAGAAGATATTATAGAGATTAAAACCCAGAGTCATGTTTGGTAAAATATGAGGGTTCCTGTTGATCTCTTCAATGGGAAAAACTAAAGCAAGAACATACTGGTAGTTCTTGGAATTCAAACTACATAGAAATGATAGGGTTCATTAGGGTCCTGATCCCAGCTAAGACACATTCAAACCAGTTACTGCTAAGATGTCTCTCGGGTAGGTGGATGTTCAAGAAGAAGGGGGTGGTGAATGAAAGCAAGAGACAGGAAAAGGAATATTGTGGGACTGTCCT